TGTGCAACCAGTCTCTGGGTACTTTTCATTGTGCAAAATTGACACTCTGTATTCATTAAACAACAAATCTCTTTATTTACCCATCGTTTTGTTAAACTTTTCTGTATACTTATATTTTGGGAATATCTTTTGTAAACAGGACAGACATGGACTTTTTCTTGTTATCCATTCTGTTAATGTTTGTCAATTAACTAAAGAGTTAAGCCTAATTACATTAATTGTGATTACTAATAAATGGTATTTGAATTTAATTCTATAGTCTTATTTGGGCTGTTTCACCAGCTCTTCCTATGTGTCCTTTCCATTCACCCTGCTCCAACCCTTCTTTTGGATTGATTGAGACTTTTTTCTTATTTCATTCCATTTGAATGGCTAGCCTAATAGTGTTTGGAAAGAGAATCAATAATGCTGCCGCTGAAGAACACTGACCCGATATCTCAGACATGCACATCTACCAACTAAAGATAGCATTCCATGAAGGAATTTGTAAGGATTTTTATCTATGAGGGCTGAATGAACTATTTTCTATAAAGTTTCATAAAAGTTTGAGCAGGAAGTTATCTTGGAGATTACCTAGTCCAACATTATCATTTTTAGTGTCCCTTTAACAGTTTGAAAATATTATGATGTGCCCATGGTGTGTGGCTTCTGTTGTAAGCACTGAAAAACATGAATAAGATTCTGTCCTTGCCCCACAGTGTTGATGATTTAGTAAGGAAGGTAGATATCTTTCAGGATGGTATGTAATTTTAACAATAGAGGTATTCACAATTGTGCAACTACTGCAAAACAATTAATTGGGGAGAAATCAGGGAAAGCTTCCTGGAAGAATGATTATCTCATCTTAAAATTTATTTATTTATTTATTTTTTTCGTGTCTGGCAACGGATCGCAACCCTCAGTGTCGCCCCCGTACCGGACCGGGACCGGCAACGGGATCACAGCCCTCGGTGTTGCTCCCGCGCCTCACTCAGCCAGTGAGCGGGAACCGGTCTGTATGTGGGATCCGAACCCTCGGGCAGGAGCACCACTGCGCTTCCCAAGCGGCGCACTATAGTAGTGCGCCACCGGGCCGGCCCTCATCTTAAAATTTAAAACGTAGGAATTAGATGTGTAGAGCAGGAAATAAAAAGACATTCCAAGAAGACAGAATAGGATGGGCAAAGGTAAGAAAATGAATCAGTCACACACCATAGGAATCACACATAAAAGACTAACTGGATGTAAATTTATGTAACATCTAAAATTTGTGAAGAGGTGAATCATGGTAAGCATGTAGATGAATAAATACTTGAAGAGAAAAGACACTTTCTTTGAGATGCTTTTCCATGGAAATAGGATAGAATTAAATATGGCCAATCTTTTCAATGAAAATGTCTATATGTAAATTGGCTGAAAGGTTTTTTACTTTAAAATTGTAAAAAACTAGGATTTTTTAATTCACTAGCTTATTTAAGAAATTTTCATTTTTAAATTTTCCTAAAATTGAGAAATGCATATGAAAATACTTAGGAGTGAGCTGTTATGCTGTCTGTAATTTACTTTAAAATACCGTAGTGAAGTATAAATTATATGAAATAAATATTTAAATTTTAACAACTGTCAATTCTAGGTTATGTGTATATAACATTCTCTTTTTTATTTCTGAAAAATTTATAATAAAGAGAACACAAACATTTTCATAATGTTTATGAAAGAAAGAAGAAATGCAAATGCTAATACCTAGTTATAAAATTATTCAAGTATTTAAAAGCGAAAATCAGAATATTATTGATCCTAGTTCAGCTACCATGTATGGTCACATTTTGTTATGAGTAACTGAAGAAACAAAAAGACAAACAGTTAAATTCTCCAAATTTTAGATTGATCTGCATAAATATCATGGTTTGACAAGTTTCACTAATAATTAGTTTGTCCTAGTATGCACAGAGGATTACAGGTTTGTAATGAATGGTGTTAATTTATAAAGGGAGAGTGAATCATTAGGCAATTAATTAGTTTCTTACCAAATAATGCAGGTATTTACTCACATAAGATGGGAAATGATGATTAAAAAAAAAGATGCTAATTAAGATCTCTATTTTCTGTGTGAGGTCATGTCTTCCCCAATCTTTTCAACCTTTTGTGAATATTTATTATTCTCTTTGTCAAAGAGCCTCCAGAGAAATGAAAATGATCTACAGAAACATTATTTTGTAGAAATGTTGGTTTTCTGAATTTTGGGGGGTTTGTCTGTGTGTGTATGTGTGTGGGGTAGTATCTTGTAGGGAACGAGAACTCTGTCTTTTTAGAGCATGAGGAAAAAAATCTCTTCCCTAGCAGTTTTAAAACTACATAATTGTAGAATAAACTGGCCATTGGATTTTACACTTATATGAAGACACTTTTCCATCATGTGACTTACCACATGACATTGCAGTAAACATTTTATTTGTTATTTAAAAATTTTTTTTGGCAGCTGGGCAGTATGGGGATCCAAATACTTGACCTTGGTGTTGTCAGCACTGTGCTCTAACCAAGTGAGCTAACCCGTCAGCCCTGTAGCATACATTTTAGAGAGACAACTAGTTATAGGAAAACAAGAATAGTGCTAGGTTTAATTTCTGTAGATTGTCCAATAGATATCAGGTACATGTTGATTGGACAGTCCAGATATATAAAGACATGTGACTTGTTAATGACAAAGAAAATGGGAAGAAAGTCATATGGAATGCTACCAAGGTACAGAAGAATATCCACAGCAAAGCTGATGGGAGAGATTGATTCATTACTGTCTGTAAAAATAAGAATGAGAACAAACAAAGAAGCAGATGATGTTGGAAAGAGAGGGCAAATGGATCCATGCCTCAGAAGCAGGAGCCACTGTGATGAGTTCCTAGGTAAGCCTGTGATATATAAAGCCCAGGCTTTCATTATGTGGGTAATGTGAGGCTGTTTCTAAGAAAATGTTCTCTTCTGCAGGAACAGTGTGGGAGAGGAAAGACATTTTCTTTTCATTTTCCTTCTGCAATCCACAAAGCAATTCAAGTATTTGTTTCTGTGTGATATGCTGGACACTAAGAAGTTAATTTCAGGTTTATGCTGAATTCTTTTCTGTAGAAATCAGTATTTGTGTGAGGTTCTGTTATGCTGACTATTCAAAACTGAACAAAGAACACCATGGACATTAGATAGAACAAAAATCCTCAGTTACAATTAGTGTGCTTGGAAACTGAAAAATCAAGAGAGTTGTAATGGATGGTACTTGTGGTAGCAGAATAATGGCCCTCCAAAGACATCCATGGTATATTACCCGGTGTTATGCCTGTGTATGTTTCGTTACATGGCAAAGGAGACTTTGCAGATGGAATTAAGGTTATGGACCTTAAAATGGGGAGATTATTCTGGATTATTTTGGTGGGCCCAATGTGATGACATGGGCCTTTAAAAGTGTTCCTGAGGGGACACATGGTGGGCTGGGGTAAAGTGTTGAAGGACATCCTGTTTCTGGAAGGGATTGGAACAGAGCCTGGGCTGTTCAAGCCATTCCCCTTCCCCTACCCCTCCATCTCAGGATGTTGCATTCCCAGCACACGCTACAGTTATTCTTGAGGACTACAAGTAAAAGGGGTGGGACGAACTGGGACAGTCCAACACCACCCAAAGAACTGTCCTGCAAGGAGCAAGACTGGAATGAAGACGAAGAGTTGGAGAGTACTGCAGTA